CTGGAAATGGGGGAAATGGAGGTGTTGCCACAGGAGGTAACGGTGGAACTAATGGCAATGGAGGTAGTGCTACTGCCTCTGGCGGTAATGGCGGTGCTGGAGGAGGCAATGGGGGACATGGAGGTCAGGCCACAGGAGGTAATGGCGGAGCTGGAGGCAATGGAGGTAGTGCCACTGCCTCTGGCGGTAATGGCGGTAATGGATTTGGAGGCAACTTTGGAGGTTATAGGCCTTATAGGCCTTACGGAAAAAGGACTATTGGTAGGTCGATTAGTTAATCTGTTTAGGTCTCTTAGCATTTCTGTAGAAAGTCATCATTTAAATTTTTAGTTTTGTGATCAATCCTGCTTTTGCTTCAGAAATTGTTAGAAATTTGTTAAGGAGTATTTGATGAAATCTGGTTTGTACCATTTTTACAGACTTCAGCAGTATAATTGAGATAACTCGTTTAACTGTTCGATTATTAAAGGAAATGCGTTTAAACGATCTGTTTTAATTGAATTTATTCATTTTTCAGATTCAAGGCTGCGTAACCTCACTGAATAGTGCGTTTGTTCAGGGAAAGCTCACATAATTGTCACTGATTTCAATAAAATGTGCTTATTCTGTAGATACACCTTTGAATGATCCGGATCCAGATCCATTTTTCTGGATTTTTCACCATCGCCATGGGTATGGGGGACGACGACCAGGCAATGGAGGAGGAAATGGGGGAAATGGAGGTGTTGCCACAGGAGGAAATGGTGGAGCTGGAGGCCATGGAGGTAATGCCAATGCCTCTGGCGGTAATGGCGGTGCTGGAGGAGGCAATGGGGGACATGGAGGTCAGGCCACAGGAGGTAATGGCGGAGCTGGAGGCAATGGAGGTAATGCCAATGCCTCTGGCGGTAATGGCGGTAACGGAAATGGTGGCCACAGAGGTTTTTGGTTTTCCGGAAAAAGGAATATTGGTAAGTCTATTAGTCAATGTGTCTGGATCTCTTAGCATCTCTATAGAAAGTCCATCATTTAAATTTTTAGTTTTGTGATCAATCCTGCTTTTATTGTCAGAGGTGATTCAGTATCCTAGCAGTCAATAACAGTCATAAGTAAATTTATGTTTGGTTATCGCCCGTAAAAAGAATAGAAAATTGTTAAGGAGTATTTGATGAAACCTGGTTTGTGCCGTAATTTCCAGACTTCAACAGTATAACTGAGATAATTAGTTTAACTTCTCGATTATTGAAGGAAATTTTCAAACGCTCTGTTTAACTGAATGTATTCATTTTTCAGAGTCAGGGCTCTATAACCTCATTGAATAGTGTGATCGTTGTTTGAGAGATCGTTCAATATCGTCCGTGACAGTCATAAGAAATTTTTGTTTGGTTTTTGCATGTGTAAAGAGCAGAAAAATTGTTAGGAAGTATCTAGTGAAACCTGGTTTGTACTGTTTTCCAGACTTCAACAGTATGGTTGATACAACTTGTTTGAATGTTTGATTTTTAAAGAAACTTTGAAAAGATCCATTTTCATTGACGATATTTTTTTTCCAGAAACGGAGCGTTATGATGAGTGAATCAAGGTGCGGAGGCAAGTTGCCAGATTTTTCGTCAGATGTGGAACTCGGCTCTTGAAGCTGCTGTAGTTTATTCTAATTTGAAATATTGTGGTTAGGGTGAAACCAGTGTCCTTTTATAAGATTACGGGGATAAATAACTGTAAAAGCATTTTAATGTAATAAACGAAGTTAAAAGCAGTGTTTTTGTGATTTGTTTGTCGGGTGTTAACAAGTTTTAGTGCCTCCAGTTTCGTAACTTGGCCTCCCACTACTCACGAGACTTGAATATCTTGAAATAAGATTAAGAGCCCCACCCCTTCTCCACTTCCCAGGGGTCCACACGCTGCCAACTTCCCAGGGGTCCACACACTATGCCCTTTCCCCCACGACTTTTCTCACCTACTAACCCCTTAAGAGTACTCTATGGAGAAGGGGGGGAGGGAAAATTTGTTAAAAAATCAAAAGCTGCACTAGTTAGTGGTGACCATCTCCTTTATTCTCCTGACCTTAATGTGTGATTCAGGGGTGATATTGAAAGGAGAAATGAGATGCTTTCACTCTTTGGAGTAAAGGGGTTAATCTTGGTACAGTCCTTGAGTGAAGGTAACATCACCACTAGGAAAAAAACTACCATGTGGAAACATTTTAATACAGTAAAAGGGATGATGCTAAACGGAGATTAAAGAAAGAACACTTGAGAAAAGCCTCTGAAATACAATTTTGTGACACTTCTCTAAGTTAGGAGTGTGTTGATGAATTCTAAAAATCTTCCATCTGTTTGGATTGTTGGGAATTTCTTTATTAAGGAAGACTGAAAGTAATGGCATTTAAGAATGAACTCTGATAAATTTCATCCTGGTGGCTACTGGGAGAAG